ACATAGAAGCTGCCGGATGCTAACCTGCATATGTTGGGAGAGCTTTACAGATCAGGAGAGGAACTAAGTACATTTACTCAAGAGCCGCGTTCACACCAAGTACTTTCCTGTACTTAGTTCCGGCACTAAGTGCCCCGGCGCTTTTCACCCCAGGGCACTTAGTACAGATCGCGTTCACACCGGAGTACTTTTCCCTGAGGGAAGATTACGCAAATGAGCCGCTGACGTCACTTCTTCTTCTTCTGCTTTGGCTTTACTGGCAGGCCACAAACCACTTCACGGCGAGTACAGTAGGTGGCGGTATGCACCTTAAAGTTGTTTGCAATCCGCTACAAGACAAGAAGAAGAAGAAAAACTTCCCGCGTATACTGTCTGTTGTTTACCTTCCGGAGATGGAGTCGACTGAAGTTGTGCTGTTTGTGCTCATGTTATACAGCTTTGTAACTTCGTTAATGCGGCCTGAGCCAGAGCCTGAGCCTATTAGGCGTCCGACACAAATCCGGAGCCGCCACACGTTGAATGCTATAATCGCAAAGTTTCTTCAGCATCAAAGGCAGTTTAAAAGCCTTAGGAAAAGGATTGGCCGACGGAACGCACACATGACTGCCATGTTTCACCGTAGGATGGCTGATGACGATGAGCGTTTTCACGCCCTAAGAACAGCAATGGTAAGTTCAGTAAATTATTAATACTATCTAATGTAGAATTTGTGGAGTTATGTAGAGCTAATTTGCGCCCTTTGTATGTGTTCCAGATATGCAAATACTACGGGACGCGTCGTGTCCCGCGCTCTCTCTGGGTGAACAATAGAACCTTGGCCTGGTGGGAGAACGTGGTGCCAACGTACACCAATGTGCAGTGGATCCAAGATTTCCGAATGTCCAAGCACTCTTTCCAATACCTCTGTAGTCGCCTGGAAGCAACGTTGGGGAGAAGCGACACCAACTTCCGGGAGTGTGTCCCTGTGGCTAAAAAAATCGCCATAGCACTGTGGAAACTTGCGACCAACTCTGAGTACAGGACCATCTCTCATTTGTTTGGAGTCGGCAGATCTACGGTGTGTTGCTGTGTGCAGGAGTTCTGTTCCGCTGTTGCGACGCTACTCCTTTGTGAGTTCATGCCATGGCCGAACTCTGAGAAGTTAGAGGAGATGGCGTTATTTTTTGAGCGCAGATGGGGTGTGCCACAGTGTGTAGGTGCAGTAGATGGATCACACATCCCCATTCTGAGACCAGAGGAATACCACAACGAGTATTTCAACCGCAAAGGCTGGCACTCGCTCATCCTGCAGGGTGTTGTGGATGGTAGAGGCCTCTTTTGGAATGTTTTTGTTGGCTTACCAGGGAGCATGCATGATAGCAGAGTGTTCAGCTTGTCATCACTGTGTAGTTTTGCGGATAAGGGTGGTCTACTTCCTCATGTAACAAAGAATATTGGTGGACATGATGTGGGTTACTATATCCTTGGTGACTCAGCCTACACCCTGCAAAGATGGCTGATGAAACCTTTCCAAGGAAGGCTCACACCCCAGCAACATGTGTACAACCGCAAAACAAGCCGAGCACGAGTGGTGGTGGAGAACGCTTTTGGCAGATTGAAGGGCAGGTGGCGGTGCCTGATGAAAAGAAACGACTGCAAGATGGACAAGATCAAAATCCAGGTGGCAGCATGTTGCGTGTTACATAACCTTTGTGAAAGTAATGATGATGAGTACAGGGACGAATGGACTGCCTTACCGGCGACCCAGCTTGATGGGCCAGCGCCAGCCATTGCCGAGGCTGGGGGGCAAGACACACGCACAGCCCTTATGAGGCATCTGAACAGCGTGTAAATTGTACATTGTAAACAATAAATGTAAACATTGACAATAAAGCTGATCATTTGTACAGTGCTTTTGTTTCTCTCTTTCATTTTGCAGTCAAGACAGGCAACATTACAATAGTGTAATAGTAGCCAAAACTAACATACATGTTAGTAACTAAAGTGTCAGTTGTACATGTCAGTAAACATTGTCAATATAAAATGTCGGTTTTCTTTATTGCACTCTCAAGACATAACATGAAATAGAACAATTTTTATGACGTAACTCTTCTATTATACGGCTCTGCTGTCAATAAATCTTGAAAACGGAGACGAGGGGAATGTAGAAATCGGTAAATAACTTCAGAAATGTATTGATAATTGTTCTGCTTTTTAATGTAAACTTGAATTCATAGTAAACTAGCTGCTTTTGAGCACTTTACTTTTTACATGGGCCATTTGAACGTGACGTGACTGTATTCAAACTAAGTCACCATCTACCCCTAGTTTCATTTGGTGCATCAAAGTCTTTATTTTGCCCTATGATGATACTAACCTAGCATTCACAACCCTAGTTTTTTTATGGTTTCATTTTGGAAATAAAAACATAAAAAATGGAAACATAAATGTTAGTTTTGGCCCATAGTGGACTCCATGTTGTGATAAATAAATGACAAATAAAGCTTTGCCAGTTTATAACCGATGAAACATGATGGTATCAGAATAATCACTTACATGTGATGTATAGGATGCTACGGTCACTAAAGATAAAGTGTCGGGAGAAATAATCAAGCTACAGGATCTGTTTAACAGTAAATAGAAGTTCACATTTTTAATGTAAATAAAATAGAAGTTGTACATGTAAATTAACATTATCAATATAAAATAAAGTGTCAGTTGTATCAAGACTATATAATAACAGTAATAACAATAATATAAAATGAACTGGTGAGCATCCTCCGTTTCCTGGGCCTTGGTGAACAGCACCATCTGATCCCCGTGCATCGACTCTTTCACCACGGCACGCCGGTCCTCCAACGCCTGGACGGTGTCAAAGAAATTCGCATCCCGTGTCCGCTTTCCTAAGAGGGGAAAATAAGCAAGATACAAGATCTGTTTAGTCGCCATGTAGTTTTACAACATACTAGGAATGTTTTTTTGGTATTTTCACAAATAGAATTAAGGTTTCACAAATCTGAAACTGTGTTATAAAGAATGTTTAGCCTCTCTGGGATAATCCAGTCCAGATTTGATGAGTCTAGGTATAGTGGTTTTAGATCAGGACCTGGTCTAATGTGGTCTACATGTAAAAAAGCACTGAAATCTCCCTTTTTTGTATTTTCACAAATAGAATTAAGGTTTCACAAATCTGAAACTGTGTTATAAAGAATGTTTAGCCTCTCTGGGATAATCCAGTCCAGATTTGATGAGTCTAGGTATAGTGGTTTTAGATCAGGACCTGGTCTAATGTGGTCTACATGTAAAAAAGCACTGAAATCTCCCTTTTTTGTATTTTTACAAATAGAATTAAGGTTTCACAAATCTGAAACTGTGTTATAAAGAATCTTTTGACTCTCTGGGATAATCCAGTCCAGATTTGATGAGTCTAGGTATAGTGGTTTTAGATCAGGACCTGGTCTAATGTGGGTCTACATGTAAAAAAGCACTGAAATCTCCCTTTTTTGTATTTTACAAATAGAATTAAGGTTTCACAAATCTGAAACTGTGTTATAAAGAATCTTTTGACTCTCTGGGGATAATCCAGTCCAGATTTGATGAGTCTAGGTATAGTGGTTTTAGATCAGGACCTGGTCTAATGTGGCCAGGATGCGAAAAAGCACTAAAATCTCTCTTTTTTTGTATTTTCACAAATAGAATTAAAGGTTTCACAAATCTGAAACTGTGTTATAAAGAATGTTTAGCCTCTCTGGGATAATCCAGTCCAAATAAATCGGCTATGCAGCGATTTAAGAGGTTCAAACACGGAGGATTGTTCCTTTTTGAAGAGTGCTTCATGTATGCTTGAACTTTGTTTAATGTTGTTGAGGCAAGTTAAACATAAAATATGATGAATATTATGAAATAAACATGATTGTGAACATCAGTTCGATGCGTAACGTTCTTTCAAGACAAAGTTACAGTGTGTGTACCTTTGCGTTTGGTTGCTGGTAAGGAGGACGACCAAGCGCTGTGATCTAGAATGCAAAGCTCGCTTGTTTCCAATCCCGAGAGTTGTCCATCCTCGCCTGAAACAGACGATTAGTGCCATGAGTTAGTGAAGCAAATTACAGAAACACTGCACAGTTATTCACAAGTCAAAACGTTTTCATAGTGGCCGAGAATATCTAGCTAGCTAGATGTAGCTAGCTCGGGGCCGGTGTTAGCCTATTCAGCCTAGCATGGCTAGCTTGATCTACTGAGCAAATAAAAGTACATCTGAGACCATTATTGTGCAGATTAAAACCCCAGTGCATGTAGTTGATTTTACCTTCGTCGTGGTCGTCATCGTTGGCCACTGAATCCGCCGTTTGTAGTCCTGCCTGAGTTTCTTTATTTTTAGCCGGCTGTGCACGATTCCCAGGTCGAGTGAAAGCTACTGAACTGGCTTCAGTAGCATTCCCTGGGTCGCGTCCTCGGCGTAGATCTCCAGAAGCGCCGACACCTCCTCATCATCATTTCCCCCGCTCCGTTGGTGCGTTGGGTTTTTGTAGCGAGGAAAAACAATGGCGTCTCCACACAACATTTTCACAGTTGTACGGGCGTGGTTTGCAATTCGCCCAGCCAATCAGCACTGGGGCACTTTTGGGGCACTTTTCACCCACAGAAAAGTACGCTCTCCCAGCGGGCTCTAAAAATGGGGGTAAAAGTAAAAGCCTTCCCAGAAGAGTGGAAGCTGTTATAGCTGCAAAGGGGGACCAACTTCAAATGAATGCCTAAGAGTTTGGAATGGGATGTCCTGAAAGCTCCTGTAGGTGTAATCAGAATCAGAATCAGAATCAGAATCAGAATCCCTTTATTAGTCCCACAGAGGAGAAATGTACATTGTTACAGCAGAAAAGAGACAAAGACAGCTTCATGTTACCTAAAGCATGCATACAACAAAGTATTAAAGATTAAAAAAATAAATCATAATTTTAAAAAAGTTACACGTTTTACAAAATACACAGTTTTTAACGGCATATATATATATATAATATTGCCTAAAGGAAGCGTATATAATGTGAACACAATAGGTCCAAGCTCTGAGCCCTTATGCTTTGCTGTGGCAAAACTGGCTGGATTAAATCAAACAGAACTCTAAACACATTTTCAGCTCAGCACACAATCTGCAATTCAACTCTGCACTTTATAAAACAATGCACACGGTTCTCTGAGTAACACACAGAGATCTGACATATTCACCTGTCAGCCATTTTCAACACACTGCCATTAAACATGCTACACATATGAGCCAATGAACAAATACACATGCCAGCTGACCGTTAACGCCTGGCTGCTTTAATGTTGACTCATCAATCAGGATAAAAGTACAACAAATGGGATATTTATGGAAGAAAATAATATTTAGTCTTAATGTTATGTGAAAAAAATATATAATATCCTGAAGGATTATGAAATACACAAGAAAGAAAACAAGATTTAAGTCGTTAATTCATGAGAAAAGCACTCAGATAGAAAGTCAGAAACATTTAAAATATTTGTTTAAAATGTCGTTTAAATAAAATGTCCAAGGAAAGTATTCAGAGTAATTCTTATTACAGTTTTATAATTGTTTTATATATTTCTCAAATGATCTGCTTTGACTGCAGCTTGAGAAACTTCTGGATTCAGTCTGAAAGCATCCTTTTTTAAACTTTAAACATGATCTTTAATAATGTTGTAGTTTAGTTTAACTCTGAGAGGTCGACTAGCTGGACTCCTCACTGGGACTCTGGTTCTGGAGCAGCTTGCAGGGTCCAGGAGTTCTTGGAGAGAAGGAGCGCTTCCTGCCGCAGGACTCGGGGGATGGGAGTTCCTGAACATGGAGAAACAGCTTCAGTTATTATGCTCCAAATATCTGGAACAAAGTCACAGAAAGAATGTGTCTGCAGCTCAGAGAGTCCTGCTGGGAACCCACACATGTTGAGGAGCCCAAAGTGTGATGAGAGGAATGTACAGTACGGGTCCCCAGCACATAGAAGCTGCCGGATGCTAACCTGCATATGTTGGGAGAGCTTTACAGATCAGGAGAGGAACTAAGTACATTTACTCAAGCACTGTACTTTTACATTACATGTCACTTGTTAGACGCTTTTATCCAAAGTGACTTACATACTCAATACCAGAGATGGAGTACTCGAGTCCTGGACTCTGACCCGAGTCGGACTCGAGTGCCGATTTTCGGGACTCGTGACTCGACTCGGACTCGCGCACTGATTGACGCGACTTGGACTCGGACTCGTGAATTATCACGTACCTTGACTTGGACGCTGACTTGGACTCGGACTCGTGAATTGGTGACTTGACTACAACACTGCTCAATACTGTGGTCAATCCCCACAGGAGCCATTTGGGGTGAAGTGTCTCAGGGACACAACGACATGCTGACTGCAGTGGGGTTTGAACCTGTGCTCCCTTGATCCCAACACCAAGGCTCTATCCACTGCGCCACACGCCTCCACACTTAAGTACAATGTTGAGGTACTTGTACCTTTCCTGAGTATTTCCATTTTATGCTACTTTGTACTTCTACTCCACTACAGTTCAGAGGTACATGGTGTACTTTTACTCCACTACATGTATTTAATACCTGATATGATCAATAATTATAAAACTTATCTTAAACTTATATTATTCTGAAATGGACCACTCTGCATAATGACTACTTTTGGTACTTTAACTATATTTTGATGCTAATACTTTTCTACTTGTATTGAGTAACATTTGAATGCAGGCCTTTTACTGTAACAGAGTATTCCTACACTCTTGTACTTCTACTTTTACTCAAGTACAAGATCTGAGTACTTCTACGTTTACTCAAGCAAAAGATCCAAGTACTTCTACTTTTACTCAAGTACAATATCTGAGTACTTCTACTTTTACACAAGTACAAGATCTGAGTACTTCTACTTTTACTCAAGTACCAGATCTGAGTACTTCTACTTTTACTGAAGTATATTTTGATGGTAATCCTGTAACGGACTGGTTATAATGTTGATGTTTTCATGTGTTTTATTCTTCAGAGTTTATTTACATTTTACAGAGTGTCAGTGAACGCGTCACTGTTTTGATAGACAGTTCTTGTGAAGAGAAACAGCCAAAATGATGAAGAGAGAAAAACAAGAGTGTTGTTTTCCTCTGAGGACATGCTCCATGAAAGAGTTTCATATCTTGATGAATGGAGGATATTCAGTACTCACAGTTCTTCTGGATCTTGGCTCTGATCGTCTCATCCTCTCTGATCCTGTAGGGATGAACACAATCCAACAGTTATGGATCCAGTTTAAAATAAGTGTTTGTTCTTTGAGTCAGCTTCAGAGTCCTGACTGATCTCATGCTTTACATCCCATCATATCTTCTCTGCAAACACTACGACTGACTGCCACAGCTCTCAGCTGCATTACAGGAAGTAACAGTCATTAGTCAAGGAGCTAAAAACATCCCATCAAAAACAGACTACCTTTTCCACTCTTCTGTCAAATCCCATATGTCTGGTGGAAAGTTGATTACTTACTAAATGTGGCTTTGCATTTCCAGCTGGCCTTCTCTAGTTGATGGAAGAATGAAGTCAGTGGGTAACATCACTGATCTGTTGTGATTCCCCAGTGAGAGAAACACCTCCCTGTGTTTCATACAATACTGCTGAACCAGCAGAGACCCCTTACTGACCTGAGGGTCTCCAGTCTGCAGTCTGGACTCTCCAGAAGATCTTTCAGCAGCTCCTCTCCTGAACCCAGCTGATAGTTGAGTCTCAGGTCCAGCTCTCTCAGATGGATGTTGGACTTCAGAGCTGAGGCCAGAGCAGAACAGCTGATCTCTGACATCCAGCACTTCCTCAGTCTGAATAAAGAAAACATGATGAGGATACAAATCTGTTTATAATCCAATCAGATGTTACTCAACATTTAAATGAATGGGAACAGAAACATCTGTCTACTTCAGAAAGTAAACTGTATCATGTAAAACTAATATGACTTCAGATGACCTTTATTCAGACGTTATCGTTTACTAAATATTAAATACATAGATTTACTTTTTACAACTAACATCTATTTCAGTTACTTTAAGAAACAGTCAACATGTATGTCTGCAGTTCTTACTTCTTACTCTTAAAAATGAAATATGAATAAAAGGACATTTACAACTTTTTGGCTGTAAGTTATTAATGAATATAAATGAGGTTCAATAACAAAGTGAACATGTGAGATCTCCAGCAGTAACAGAGAGTCAGTGAACTGACCTGAGGGTCTCCAGTCTGCAGTCTGGACTCTCCAGAAGATCTCTCAGCAGCTTCTCTGAATCCTGCAGATCGTAGTTGTCACTCAGGTCCAGATCTCTCAGATGGATGTTGGACTTCAGAGCTGAGATCAGAGCAGAACATCTGATCTCTGACAACTTGCAGCGCTCCAGTCTGAATAAAGAAAACATGATGTAACTTTAGAAAACAATGTTCCTGTTTGAAATAACTCCAGGTTTAATAATCTGTTCAGAGTTAAACAGGGTTTTAATGTCAGAGATGATGCAGAAACAATCCACTGATAATCTGGAACTTTAACTTTGATCAGATGTTTAACAACTCCTTCATCTCCCTCACAGCTCATCAGTACTGACAGCATCTCCACTGACTCATGGAGCACAGAGTGAGTCTGTGGAAGCTCAAACACTCTCCCTCACACATTCACCTTCTCTCTGTTACTCTGATCAATATTCAGTCATTAGCAAAAACGGAACAAATAAAAATAACATTGTATTTGTTCAAATTCAGAAAATCATAAACACAAACAGATCAATATGAACTGCAGTCAGTGAACTGACCTGAGAGTCTCCAGTCTGCAGTCTGGACTCTCCAGAAGATCTCTCAGCAGCCTCACTCCTGAGTCCCGCAGAGCGCTGCCACTCAGGTCCAGATCTCTCAGATGGAGGTTGGACTTCAGAGCTGAGATCAGAGCAGAACAGCTGATCTCTGACAAACTGCAGTCCTCCAGTCTGAATAAAGAAAACATGATGAGGATACAAATCTGTTTATAATCCAATTAGATGTTACTCAACATTTAAATTAATGGGAACAGAAAAATCTGTCAACTTCAGAAATTAAACTTTATCACGTAAAACAAAAATTACTTTACCCAACCTTTATTCAGACGTTATTGTTTACTAAATATTAAATACATAGATTTACTTTTTACAACTAACATCTATTACAGTTCCTTTAAGAAACAGTCAACATGTATGTCTGCAGTTCTTTCTTCTTACTCTTAAAAATGAAATATGAATAAAAGGACATTTACAACTTTATGGCTGTAAGTTATTAATGAATATAAATGAGGTTCAATTCCAAAGTGAACATGTGAGATCTCCAGCAGTAACAGAGTCAGTGAACTGACCTGAGAGTCTCCAGTCTGCAGTCTGGACTCTCCAGAAGATCTCTCAGCAGCTCCACTCCTGAATCCTTCAGCTTGAAGTTCTCACTCAGGTCCAGATCTCTCAGATGGATGTTGTACTTCAGAGCTGAGATCAGAGCAGAACAGCTGATCTCTGACAAACTGCAGTCCTCCAGTCTGAATAAAGAAAACATGATGAGGATACAAATCTGTTTATAATCCAATCAGATGTTACTCAACAACAACAATTATACTCACTTACTTACTTTAATAATATCATTGTGTGATTCTTATTTGCTAATGTTTATCTATATTTACTACTTCTCACTCTTCTTAGCTAAGCTTGGGGAAAGTCCTTATGAAGAAGATGTGTTGCAGTGTTGTTAGTGACTCTCTATGTGCACCAACAGTATGACCTTCACCTCAGGGGAACTGAGGACTTCCTGATACGGCCTCCCTAACTCCCAGAATGCTCCTTCATCATCACCAAGCTTCCCCCCTCCCTTTCTCCTCTCTCGAGCCTCATCTCAATACCCCTCCTCGACTCCTCCTTTCCCTCACTCGCGTCCCTTCCTTGCGTCTTAGCTCTGCCTCCGTAAGATGCGAGCGAGAGACACGAGGAGGAGACGCGAGGACAGAGGAGTCCTCAGGTATTAATTGGGATGTCCTCGTTCACTCAAACGTCACTCTTAAACGACGTCTGTTAATGATGACATGTGCACAGCTGTATCCCCTCTCATCGGGCTTAACTGAATAACCTTTAGAACCGGCCCATTTGTTGTTAAATATGTATTTAAATGATGAATCTTTCTCTTGTTAGTCAAGGAATTCAATGTATGATGGTTGGTCCTGCTTTTGTGTTACGTTTTGGTGTCAAATGTACATTTCAATAAAAATATAATGATAGTAATGTGAAAGCCTTTACTCTGAACATGTGTGTCCTGTAGATCCCCACATTCAGGACTGTGCATTTTAAATAATTTAACTACTCAATATTTTAACACAAAACAAAACAAATAATTGTTATTTATCAAGATCTAGCCATTCATGAAATAGCTTTCTTAATAGCTATGTTTTAGTGACGTTCAAGATCATTAAACATGACTTAAATTGTTAGTATAACCTTAAGAAATGAATTGCACATAATAATTCCCACGGAGCTGTGAGCACTTAGACATTTATGTGACGCTTTCCCACTCATTCTTCCAGTTCTCCGTTTTCCTCTCTTGAAATCGACCAGCTGTGAAGGTGGGGGCGGGGCTTTTATACGCGAGTAGTGAAAACACTTCCGCGTAGTCTGCTCTCGTGTATCCTCCCTTTCGTCTCCTCCCGCACCCCTCCTCCCTCACCCCTCAAAAAAACCTCCTTCAAAATGGCGTGTCTTGATCGATTTCCGGGTCAAGTCCCGGAGGAGGGGAAGAGAGGAGTCGAGGAGGGGTATTGAGATGAGGCTTCTGTGTTTAAATATGCAACTCAAACTCTACTCTTCCTCTTCCTCTCTGCAGACTGTATGCTCTCTGTGTGACTGACTGAACTTTCTTGCGAGAAATAAAATACGACAAAGACAGCTGAATGCTTTGATTCTCTCTGCACATTTGTGACCTGCTCCATCGAAATCAGTCGCATTGACCCGAAGACACATTTTGAGTTGTATACACTGTTGGAAAGAGGAGATTCCTAGCTTTCTAATGATATCAGGATTGTTTTTGTACTCCAAATATTAAGCAAAATATGTCACATTATATAAAGACTGTCACCGAGTCATCGTTTGGAGAAAAAGGCCTTCAAAGTTTCCTCTTCTCTGGAATCCATCGATCTGATTGATTATTAGCGGAGCAAATGATCAAAATAGTCCGGAGGGAAAATATTTCCGTTTGGATACTGGTCTGGGGGAAGCTCGCGAGTGTATGTGTGTATGTGTGTGTGTGTGTTTGTGTATTTTTGCGTAAGTGTATATTGTGTTTGTTTCCCGGGGAAAACACTCACGAGAAACACCGGCTGTTGTAATGCCTGCTGTGACGTTAAATTACTCCGTTCTCCACTTGTAATTATGCCGTTACAAGCTTCATAGTTGTATTTATCATCTAAATTTGCCGAAACAAGTTTAACATTCTGAAAGCCAAGACTTTGTTTATTTGAAATCAGATGAAAACAAACTGTCACGGACCCTGCCGTGTTATCTATGATTACTATGCGCCTTACTGTACATTCATAATGTCAGCCGGAGGGAGGGGGGGCGGCGCTACGGAACAGCAGAGTGCGAGTGAGAGCTGTCATCTTCCCTTTACAAGCTTCAAACATGTATTTATCGTGTGATTTTGGAAATAAAAGTTTCATATTCTGAAAGCCAAGACTTTGTTTATTTAAAATCAAACAAAACACCCGAACCCCGAAAAAATAGTTTTTTACGCAAATCCACGTTTATTTTGAAATGAGCCGTTGCAACTTCCGACTGATTTCGATAGAGCGGCTCACATTTGATGAATAAATTCCCATCACAATGTCAAACTAAAATGACTTCAGATGACCTTTATTCAGACGTTAACGTTTACTAAATATTAAATACATGGATTTACTTTTAACAACTAACATCTATTACAGTTACTTTAAGAAACAGTCAACATGTATGTCTGCAGTTCTTACTTCTTACTCTTAAAAATGAAATATGAATAAAAGGACATTTACAACTTTATGGATGTAAGTTATTAATGAATATAAATGAGGTTCAATTCCAAAGTGAACATGTGAGATCTCCAGCAGTAACAGAGAGTCAGTGAACTGACCTGAGAGTCTCCAGTCTGCAGTCTGGACTCTCCAGAAGATCTCTCAGCAGCTCCACTCCTGAATCCTTCAGAACGTTCTCACTCAGGTCCAGATCTCTCAGATGGATGTTGGACTTCAGAGCTGAGATCAGAGCAGAACAGCTGATCTCTGACAACCAGCAGCGCCTCAGTCTGAATAAAGAAAACATGATGTAACTTTAGAAAACAATGTTCCTGTTTGAAATAACTCCAGGTTTAATAATCTGTTCAGAGTGAAACAGGGTTTTAATGTCAGAGATGATGCAGAAACAATCCACTGATAATCTGGAACTTTAACTTTGATCAGATGTTTAACAACTCCTTCATCTCCCTCACAGCTCATCAGTACGGACAGCATCTCCACTGACTCATGGAGCACAGAGTGAGTCTGTGGAAGCTCAAACACTCTCCCTCACACATTCACCTTCTCTCTGTTACTCTGATCAATATTCAGTCATTAGCAAAAATGGAAAGAATAAAAATAACATTGTATTTGTTCAAATTCAGAAAATCATAAACACAAACAGATCAATATGAACTGCAGTCAGTGAACTGACCTGAGAGCCTCCAGTCTGCAGTTTGGACTCTTTAGTCCAGAACTCAGCAGCTCCACATCTGAATCCTCCAGAGTGTTCTCACTCAGGTCCAGATCTCTCAGATGAGAGGGCTCAGACTTCAGAGCTGAGGCCACAACTTCACAGAGAGTCTCTGAGATCATACAGCCAGTAAGTCTATAATAAAACATATATTAAAACATGTGTTAAAAAGAGGAAACATTATATTAACATCAAGCATTTGATGAAAAAAGATTTGACATGTTCTGATAGACATTTGCTGTTAGTCCATTTAATATAATATATAATAATATATGATAATAGAGTGTAATGAGTTGTCAGTGTGATCTGATCACATGTCTGTGCTCCTGCTGTCACTGACTGTTACCAAAAGAAACAGAAATTAAATGAATCACTTGACAATATTAGAGATGTACATATTTAAATGTTAATTAATATGTGGATGTGAATGATGGATGAAGGATGTTTTGGCTTCTCTGAGCATCTGAACATTTATTGCGCACACAAACACAATTAACAAACCAATAAAGTTTCAATATGTTCAACTTGATACCATCAGATGTTCCCAGTATATCAGCATTAAGACATAACTCTGTTATTGGTGGGAAATGATATAGATCTGATTTTAAACTCTAACACATTGTGATAAAAACGTGTTTAATGATAAAGAAACTACTAGAAAGTAATAATAACATGTTTCTGTGATAACTGTAAGTCCTGCTGTGTGGTGTGATCACATGCTGAGAAACCTCTAGAGTCCTTCATGTGTTTGACATGTCGCCTCCATCACTCAATATGAAGAGAGGAACGCTTCAGTTTAACTATTATTATAAATAAATAGAAGAACAGTGTTGGTTTTATTTTGCTCTCTCAGTATTTAAACAGCAGAAATGTTATAGTGTGTATTTGAATAATTAAACTCCTGATCCACATTAGTTTATCAAGTTAATCACATCTGGACTTACTTGAACTTCCTGCAGTTCCTCACAGCTGGAAGCAGTCTCAGTCGTCCCTCCAGTGATGATGTGTTGTACTGATCCAGGTCCAACTTATCCAGAACCTCCTCTGACATCTGCAGCATGTAGGCCAGAGCAGAGCAGTGGATCTCAGAGAGTACCTTCTCTGATCTGTTCTCTGACTTCAGGAACTCTGTGATCTCCTGATGTACTGAGTGGTCCTTCATCTCTGTCAGACAGTGGAAGATGTTGATCATCCTGTCAGGAGAGATATAATCACTGCTCATCTCCTTCAGGTTGCTGATGGCTCTCTGGATGGTTTCTGGTCTGTTGTCTGTGCGACCCAGCAGGCCTCCTAACAGTCTCTGGTTGGACTCCAGAGAGAGGCCGTGGAGAAAGCGGACAAACAGGTCCAGGTGGCCATTTTCACTTTGGAGGGATTTCTTCATGGCTCCCTTCAGGAAGACAGGCAGGGATGGGTAATCCTGATCTCTGATGTTGTTAAAGTCTCCCTGCAGGAAGTCCTTCAGTACCTCTGTGTCTCTGTTGGTGTAACAGTGCAACATGTAGACTGCAGCCAGAAACTCCTGGACGCTCAGATGAACAAAGCAGTAGACTGTTTTCTTGAAGATCACTCTCTCTCTTTTGAAGATCTGTGTACAAACTCCTGAGTGCACCAAGGCCTCGGTGAAATCAAGACCACAGCGCTGCAGGTCTTCTTGGTAGAACATGATGTCTCCTTTCTCCAGATGTTCAAACGCCAGCCTCCCCAGCTTCAGAAGAACCTCCCTGTCAGCCTCCGTCAGCTGCTGTGGACTCGTCTCATGTCCCTCTTCATACTTCTGCTTCTTCCTCTTGGTCTGGACCAGCAGGAAGTGTGAGTACATGTCAGTGAGGGTCTGGGGCAGCTCTCCTCTCTGGTCTGTAGTCAACATGTGGTCCAGAACTGCAGCAGTGATCCAGCAGAAGACTGGGATCAGACACATGATGTGGAGGCTCCTGGAGCTCTTGATGTGAGAGATGACTCTGCTGGACAGGTCTTCATCACTCCATCTCCTCCTGAAGTACTCCTCCTTCTGGGCGTCAGTGAAGCCTCGTACTTCTGTTACCCTGTCCACACACTCAGGAGGGATCTGATTGGCCGCTGCAGGTCTGGAAGTTATCCAGACGAGAGCCGAGGGAAGCAGCTTCCCCCTGATGAGGTTTGTCAGCAGCACGTTGACTGAGGACTGCTGAGAGACATCAGACACAACCTCATTGTTTCTGAAGTCCAGAGAAAGTCTGCTTTCATCCAGGCCGTCAAAGATGAGCAGCACTTTGCAGACAGCCAGCTGCTCTGCTGTGACCTTCTGTAAGGTTGGATGGAAAACATGGAGCAGCCTGAGAAGACTGTACTGCTCACCTTTGATCAGGTTCAGCTCCCTGAAGGAGAGCGGGATCACCAGACTGACATCTTGGTTTTCCAAACCCTCGGCCCAGTCCAGAGTGAACTTCTGCACTGAGAAGGTTTTTCCAACTCCAGCGACTCCGTTGGTCAGGACCGCTCTGATGAGAGTCTGTTGGTCAGGTAAGGCTTTAAAGATGTCCTGGCACTTGATTGGAGTGTCATGGAGGGGCTTCTTCTTGGAAGCTGTCTCCAGCTGCCTCACCTCATGTTGGGTATTAACCTCTTCACTCTGGCCTTGTGTGATGTAGAGCTCAGTGAAGATCCTGTTGAGGAGGGTTTCACTTTGATCAGTTCCTTCAGTCACACGTTCACATCTCCTCCTCAGACTGAGCCTATGTTCATCTAAAACCTCCTGCAGACCACTATCTGCTGGAAGAGAAGGAAACATGAGAGAATGAGGGAAATGCTCAGAGAATCTAATTATAACAATAAAACAACAACAAACAGACTGAGTTTAAATGTTTTATAAACAGCTTACTGTCTATGCTCTACAACAGTATACCTGTTCAAACACAAATGAACCAGGAAGAGGAATAAGACGCTGCGTGTGTTCGGCCTCTTACCTCGTACAGAGCTGGTCTGACTGGCTGTCTGCAGTCCAGCTCTGGTTCTGGATCTTTCTCCACACTGGGGACAGGAGGGGTCTCCTGATGGAGGTCTCTGCTCCCAGTATGAGGTGATGCACTGTCTGCAGAACCAGTGTCCACAGCTGGTAGAGACTGGATCCTTCAGGACGTCCTGACACAGAGCACAGCTGGACAGCTGCTCCTCCACAGGAACACCACTCTTCCTCTTCCCTCTGTGGAGATGAACACATCCTTTACAGCACGTCACATTAGTGGAGCTGATTCTCACCAATGGGCAGAGCGTCACAAACGTCACTCTCAAGATGAAATGTGTCACGCTGCACGAATACGCAGGTGACATGAATTTCACCTCTTCACTTTCTTGGTGTCTCCAGGCACGGATCTGGGTCTTTGCATTGACTCTACATGTAATCACACAAAGCTCTGTTATATCTGCTAATGCTAAACACAACCAGCTCACCAGGTTATCACTATCATTAATAAACATCTTTAAAATACATATCATAAACATGCCCAAGTAGTAAATAATGTTTTGGACGATATATTTAGTCTTTAGTGAATATTTATCAATATCTTTGCCATTTGAAACCTTTTGATGCCACTGATACAATGATGCTATAAATGCATATTGAAATATCCTCAAATAATGTTAGCTTGCTGAACTCTGCTGCCTTTGTTCTGTGCTATACTGCACACATGATATTATTAAAGAACAGTTTAATATATTAGATTATATAAGAACTGGATCCTCTTCAGGTCAGGTTACAGCAGAAACTCTTACTTTGTGTCTGAGGGTCCAGGTTCATTACTGAAGTTTAGAGGATACTCTCTAGACCAGTCACTCTTCAGAGACAGACAGCTGGGGACTGGAGACTCTGCTCTCTGTCTGTGGAAACAACACATGTTTTAAACATCATTAGTTCATTCAGAGAGCACATTTTGACTTCTGTCTGTATGTAGATTATTTACTATCGCTGATGACGCCAGGGATCAAGAGTTTAAACGTTGTTACTGTACTGTTACTAAGTTTCTTTACTGCGATCATTAAATAACAGGTTAGGCTAGAAAAGGTATTTCCTGCTGAAAATGCAGAGAAAGCTGAATATTTGAATAGCTGAATGGTGACTGTAGCTGTGTAGTGATCAGTGAAAGGAGAGGGTTTCATGTGAAAAGTCTTTGTCACATCCTCGCCCTCAACAGCCTTTTTTTCAAATTCTATACTTAAATGTTTTTATTTTTCAACCTAAGAGATGTCTTCCTACATTTTCATCAACAAATGAGTGCAGAGTTTGGGACTCATGGCAGGTTTAACATTTCTTGTTTTTAGGCAAATTTCAAGCTCTCCTCCACTCTGTTTGGAGATCAAAGCACTCTAGACTTAACGAGCTGCGCAATACACACTAATGTTAAAATCTGAAGAAGGACCTTAAGATTCTAAATGAGTGCATTACAGAAACAATGAAAATATGGTCGACAATACAAAATACATTTAATCTGTCACTGATGACGCCAGGGATCAAGAGTTTAAACGTTGTTACTGTACTGTTACTAAGTTTCTTTACTGCGATCATTAAAGAACAGGTTAGATGATCAGATAACATAAAAACTGAATCCTCTTCAGGTCAGGTTACAGCAGAAACTCTTACTTTGTGTCTGAGGGTCCAGGTTCATTACTGAAGTCTGGAGGATTCCACTCTTTAGACTGGTCACTCTTCAGAGACAGACAGCTGGAGACTGAAGATGTGTCCTCTTCCTCATCTTTAAAACCACTCATCTTCTCCAGTCTGAGAGATAAACCAGTAGGGTTGGGAACCGAAACTCAGTTCCAGATGAGAACCGATAAGAAAATGCCGGGTACCGGGTACCCGTACAAAATACACAATTTCGGTTCTGCTTAACGGTTCCTAAACGCGGTAGACCCTGTATTCCACCGGGTCCATCTGCACCGGGGTGACCCGGTGGAATACAGGGACTGGCCATCTGTGTGTTCTGGAGAATCACAGAACGTCCGGTCGTCAGCGGGCCGTTGACGGCCGGCTCGGTACGCTGGCGGCCGGCACCGCCCCCCATTTTTTAAAACGGCATCATGTAAGTTGCGCTGACAGGCGACAGAGGTCCACAGTTGCCCTGCAGCGAGGCTCCCCCCGCCCTCCCGTAGACAGTTCACGAGCTCAGTCACTTCATAACACCAAAGATGGGTCGCAGTAAACGCTCTAAAGTGAGGCTCCACTACACTAAAAAAGAAAAAGACAAGCGCAGTGTAATGCCTGTTAATAGCTTGCCACTATGGAGCACTGAACATGACTTAAGTATAAATAAATAAATAAATAAATGTGTAAATACATGTATGAAGAAATACAGGAAGAAATACATAAATACTTAAATGAATAAATAAATACAGGAATAAATAAATGACGAAATAAATGCAGGAATAAATAAATACAGGAATAAATAAATGACGAAATAAATACAGAAATAAATAAATGACGAAATAAATACAGAAATAAATAAATGTTGAAATAAATACACAAATAAAAGAATAAATAAATGCATAAATAAATATGGAAATAAATACACCAATGTATAAATAAATAAAACAGAACACACGTTCTTATATATCTTTCATATATTTCTACATTTACTCGACATACATTCATTTATTTATTTATGTGTCCGTATGCTAATGAGGTGGGCGGTCCTAACCTCAGTCTGAAGCAGGATTGGTTACAGGAGTGTGTGATCATTTCTGGCAGAGGGCTATACTAACGCCTGGCTAACCGCGCTGATTCGAATGCAGGAGCTTTACTGTTTAGCCCTTATCTTTATACATCCATGGTTTATCCACAGTTGTAAGGATTATTTATGGGTATTGGTTTAAGAGCCATTGGAGATCATTAGCGGACCATTTAGAGAACGGAGAACCAAAAGACTATGTCCTCTCTATGTCCAGTTTTGTGTGGAACGATGTATAGAGGACTTGGCTCAGCTCGACATGGATGTGGATGTTAACCCAGCTGTGTTTGAGAGTCTTCAAGAGGTTGCCCGCCAACTTGAAATCCTCTCGGAAACAGAGGAGGCGACCCTTGGGCGTCCATCTTACATGTTGCCCCCAAACGTTATTGAAGCACATCTTCGTTCGGGGCACACCGCTGGGGACATCGCGAACGGGTGTGCGAAAGAACAATTATTAAAGAAGCCATTATTAGCGAGTTGCCGTGGGTGTACACTGTACACAGAATGAACAGATGTGACTTGCCACGAATCTCTTGCTTCTGCCTGGCTCCAACAATTGGCGAATCCTGCTTCAGACTGAGGTTAGGACCGCCCACCTCATTAGCATACGGACACATCAATAAATAAATAAATAAATGTATGTCGCGTAAATGTAGAAATATATGAAAGATATATAATAACGTGTGTTCTGTTTTATTTTCGACTTTTATTTATTTATACATTGGTGTATTTATTTCCATATTTATTTTATGCATTTATTTATTATTTTATTTATTTATTTGTGTATTTATTTCAACATTTATTTATTTCTGTATTTATTTCAACATTTATTTATTTCTGTATTTATTTCGTCATTTATTTATTCCTGTATTTATTTATTCCTGTATTTATTTATTTACGTATTTATTTATTTATTCCTGTATTTATTTATTCCTGTATTTATTTATTTACGTATTTATTTATTTATTCCTGTATTTCTTCATACATTTATTTACACATTTATTTATTTATTTATACTTAAGTCATGTTCCGTCCTCCATATGCCACAGGCATAGCTCAGTTAAAATAAAGCACAGCTATTGTGCAATACATTTGTATTGCATGTATATTTTTTATTTGTAAAAATGTCAGTTAAAGCTTAAAAGAATAAAGATATTTTTGTTATCTAAACGTTTGACCTCTTTCTTTTACAATTTTGGAATCAAAACGGGGAATCGATAAGAACCGGAATCGATGAGCAGAAGCGGAATCGGAATCGATACATTTCAAACGATACCCATGCCTATAAACCAGTAACACTGGAGACACACACACACACAAACACACATTATAATAACACACTTGTTTCAATCATAACCATCATAATAATAAACTTGTGTTATGATATTAGGGTCATGCAGAGTCAGGCAGCTGTCCCTTTAAGAGAGAGAGAGAGAGAGAGAGAGAGAGAGAGAGAGAGAGAGAGAGAGAGAGAGAGAGAGAGAGAGGAGAGAGAGAGCGAGAGAGAGAGAGAGAGAGAGAGAGAGGGGGGGTGTTGGCGCGTGCATGTGTGTGCGCATATGGCAAGCCATTTGAGTATTTATTCCATATCCTTGATGTCAGACGGCAGCTGCCTGCACTAGTTGGCTCTTTGATTTCACTTGTTAGATATATGGTCAAACTAGTTTGGCACTCTGCTTTACTAGTTAAATAAAACATTACACTAGTCACTCTTTTTCAGCAACTAGTGGCACTTTTGTCCGACTAGTTAGCACATAAGCCTTACTGACCCTCTGACCGTACTAGTGACGCTAAAAGTCTTACAAGTTAACATAGTGCGCTGCAAAGCTCTGACATGTTAACTAGTTACACAAAAGAAAGCACAACTAGTTAACTAGTGGCATACATTTGTCTGCACTAGTTAACTAGTTGCACCCAGAATCGTTCACTAGTTAACTAGTAAAGGCAAAAGGTTCACTAGTTAACTAGTTGACGTCTCTTTTGACCTTACTAGTTAACTAGTGGGGCTCAAAATGTCTACACGTTAACTAGTGAACCCTTTACCCTTTACTAGTTAACTAGTGAACTAGTGAGGCTTAAAATGTTCACTAGTAGTACTAGTGGATCCCAAATGCGCACTAGTCGCACTAGTCGCACAGAATGCTAATGAGGAGGAGGGGAAAGAAGGCATCGAGGTCTCCTATTGGCCCTAAGCTATAGAGCGCCACCCAGCCCAAATAGTTTCTTTAAGAGCTTAAAATACACTGTGTTTTAAAATACAGTCATATGACCATATTTACAAAAATATAAAACAAAAGTATTTGTGTAATTATGATCATATGACTGTTTATCAAATTAGGTAATAACATTGAATACTTTGTTAAAATTAGAAAGTTGCCTTAGGACTGCAGACAGGAATATAGATCCTCTTTAAAACATTTTGTTAAGCTGCAATTTGAAAGGTGCTTGGATTAGAATAGCATTGTGATAACAGAGTGACATTAGTGATGGATAGAAAGAGGAAGTAACCCTCCTCGGATCACAGCGTTCCTGAGAACGCTGAAGTTGGCTTCCGATTCAGAGTTTCCGATTCGGCAGTTAAGGGGAAAGTTAAGAGACATTTAATTTACAGCGCTGAGCGAACAATCCTCCGTGTTTGAACCTCTTAAATCGCTGCATAGCCGATTTATTTGGACTGGATTATCCCAGAGAGTCTAAACATTCTTTATAACACAGTTTGAGATTTGTGAAACCTTAATTCTATTTGTGAACATTTTAAAAAGGGAGATTTCAGTGCTTTTTATCTAGACCACATTGGAGCAGGTCCTAATCTAAAACCCTACAAATCTAAAAATGTTTGGTTTTTGTGACCAGTTAGACTCATTAAGGCCATTGTTTCCCTTCATAAGTGCAACTACGGAAGTGGATTGGAGTCTTTCAGAGCCTGTCACAGTTCCAGATCATACCAGTGTAAAGCTATATGTACATTAGTAATCATAGTTTTTCTATGTCAAAAAAAGTATAAACAGCATGCAACAATATCAAAACTTGCTAAACATGCTCACTTTATTATATTTGTGTTGCAAAGGTCATGCCACAGTCTGATAAGCATAACTTGTTTAAGAATTCAAAATGCAGCCCCCACTTCAATCCATAAAGCATTCCAAATATATATCATGTGCAGTGCTCATTAGTAGCCATCATCCCATGCAGTTTAAATATACTGGGACCCCAGCAAGGCAGCGTTACACTGGTGAGTACATGTGAAAGCATTTCAGGAGCCTTTTGCTTCATTTACATTATTTTAGTGGTTTGAGTAAGACTACTTTTTAGAAATTCTAACAATGTATATTTGAAAATGTATGAAACTAAAAAAATTCTCCATACCTGTTAAATAACAAACTAACTTTCTACAAATAAATTCAAGATGTTTTTTATGATAGACTATATACATGTTCTGAAGCCACTGTGGCCTCAGGATGCTTCCGACACAACATTCAATAGCTTTAGCCAACGAGCTGCTGGGTCAGGTGAGGCTGCAGCAGCTCTGTGCCCTGATGTGAGCTATCATCTGTCTTTTGGAGTATGTGGTGTTCTAAGGCCCTGTGCCTGTTAGCATGTTAGCCTAGCTCCTGCTGGGTGACAGACCCTGCAGTTTGTGATGGACTCTTACCGCTGATGCACTGGCAGAAAGAACATAATTGCGAGGCCTGGTCTCCTGAAAAGCAGGTGCAGCCTACAAACAAGAGCATGGAGGAGGAGACACATGTTGGCACAGTCATGCATTACAATCATAAAGCAGAACAACTAAAACAGTTAGCCAAAAGCAAAGCTGGATCATTTATTAATTGCTGTTAAAGCATAAACAGTTAGAATGCTTTAGTACGTTTTGCTTTAACTTTAATAAAATGATCCTGTGAGGATAATAAGTGAATTTGAAGCAGACTCAGTGTCAGGGTTGGGGAACAATAGGACCCAAATGCAGTAAAAGGACTAAAAGGTCAGGTAACAAAAAGCGAGCTTTATTTCCCAAAGCTGAATGACAAAAGAAAACAAGGAACAACTTAACATA